ATAATTTTACTTTCCTCGACTGCGAATCGACATTTACGCACGTCCGCGGGCAATCGCTGAAATCGCTGGTAAAAAAGAAATTTTTTTCTTCCGGATTTCGCAACGGTGAGGAGAAAAATTATTTATCGCGAATTCATCGCTTGCACGATGCTGATAAAAATAATTGATATTAAATTGATATTATTGATAAATTGATATTAAACACGTTTTTAAACTAGCTTTTTTATCTCTTTACGCGCTCCGATGCATCTACATAATCATTATGCATCTCGATATTATTCTTCACATCAGACTTTTCTTTTCGTTAAAATTCAAGTAATTTGAATCCATTCGTGAATCGCTTGATCGCGAGTGACGATTAAATGAAATTTTTTTCACAAAAATATCAATATTTGCCTATTTCTTTTCTAATACTTGACGAAATGAAAATTCCATTTAAATGGCGCCTTTAAGGCCAGCCGAAATATATAAAGTCCCTCGGCCTATTTAAATTTCGATATCACGAAAAATCAAATTCAAATTTCAAATCGCTTGGACAGCGCGATCGAAAAATGTTTGTTTGAAAAAATTTCACTCCGAGTCGAACGAAGGAAGAATCGTCACCCCGAATCGAACGAAGAGGACTCGTCTGTGGAGTAATATATATGTATGCAATTCTGGTTACGGTGCATGCGCACCTTTAGATATACAACTGGCGCTCGTAAAACGCGCAGGCGGAAGTGGTTTCACTTTGGTCAACGATACGGAACCGTACGCAACCGATACGCGTCATATCGCGCGTCGCATCGCGTCGCGTCGCGTAACGTCGCGTCGGCTTCGCCATTTTTATGTTCGCCTGATGAAAAAATAAGATTGGTCTTGTATGTTCCTTTTTTTTCCCTCTCTCGTTTGGCTGCCCTCGTGCGCGCGCGATTAGCGATTAGGTGTGTCGCGTCGGTCTTGCATATCGAGCCGCACGTTCAAAGGGTTACGCAACCCCAGACGGACACGTGTCGGCGAGTAGAACAGGGATTCATGAGGACGGGCGAGGTTTAGAGCTACGTACGCGGCCCTACAAAGGCATACGCGCTCGAGAGTGCAATGAGAGAACGGGAAGAGAACGAATGAAATCGTGAGAGAAAAACCCAGTAAAAGAGATCGATTCAAAATTTTGCACGATTTTGCAAAGTCGTGTGGCTTCTTTTCGCGCAATTAAATAAATTTCTACTTATTCGTTATAATTTATAATGAGATTTATACATTTGTATTCTTTTTACAAACTCTGCTCATTTCTTCTCGTCGCTTTAGATTGATATTGCGTAAGAGCTAAGACTGTGAAACTTTAGACATATGCATGATATTTTCCATTTTCTTCTTTTTTCTTTTTATTTATGTAGACTTTATGTAGAAATATTTATATCGCACATGCAGTTTACATGCTCGGTTTACATATGTTGAATATACCTGTTGAATTTAAATAATCTTTAAATAATCGGAAATATTTATTCATCATCAGAATGGAAAAATCGATAACGAAGGTCACGAACGTCGCATGAGTTGCAAATCTTTCGCTCGATAAATTTTTTCACAAGCGGAATTAGCAATTAACTCGGGAATTACTACGATATCGTATTGAAAATAGCAATTAACCGTTCATATCGGATTTTTTTAATTTTATCTAATTTCGAGAGAAAACCTCACTCGATCGACCTATCGTCCCGATAAATAATGCAATCGTCGTTATCTGATGTACATTACCCGGAACATCCATAAATGCGAACGATGGCAAACTAATAGTGCAAAGTACGATTACGGAAGGACTTTTGACGCATGTTTCGACAAACATTTCCCACATAAACAGAAATTTTAACATCTTTACACATGACATTTACGTCATTATCCTGATATAAATATTTATTTTCACTCACGTTACCCAAACGCAGTTAAGTAAGCTTTCCTTCGAGTAATGGCGAGTCTTTTTTTAACTACTCATTAAACAATACCGGAGACATACTTTTTAAAGCTCCAATGAAAATGGCAAAATTAAAGGTACAAAAATTTTAATAAACAATAAAAATAATTAAACGATTATATATAATGAGGCAATTGGCGAGCGCTCCGTAATCGATAAAATGCAATAAACCGCACTGTAATTATCGAAGATATATTATGCAGAATACAACGTGTCGCCGGAGCTACATCGAGCTCCGGTGGGTAATTAGCAATTTATTTAGCTTCCTGTGAGTCGCTTTACGTGCCGCCGAGATGCAGCGAGGTAAATCACTTTGTAGCTCGTAGGCCGAGTCCGAAGGTCGCCTTGAACGGAGGCGCATGTAAATGAATGGGGATTGGATAGGGCAATGTAACAGGGTAGCAAGGGTGGCCAGGAGTGTTTCAAGGGCTCCTTCAAGGTCAAAGGGGGGACGGCGGTCTGTCGTTTATATCATTAAAGACCCACGTTATGGCGTATGTGGCTGCCCACGCGCGAGCAACGAGCGCGCCCATACATATTCGATCCCTCTTTCCTCCCCTCCACGCCGCCTCCTTGATTTACCTTTTTTTAGGGTAAACGACCGCGCGTAATATCGCGCAAATGATATTTGGCTAATTAATTGATTAAGGAGCAAATAAGGAAACCGGTTTCGTTCAGCGGTTTATCTCGTAAAAGTACCTCGAGGCCGTGCCGTATAAAAGTAACATAGTTTTCCAACGCAAATTAATTTAAAAACGTAATTAAAAACGTGATTACAGATTTAATCAAACTCAAGTGAAGAAAGTGTGAAATTGTTATAAAAATAAACCATTTTCGAAATATTACCGGATGATTATTAAAAAAATCACCATCGGGATACAGGTAGCTTGAAAATTGCGGTAGAAACGAGTCGCGGATCTCGCGGTACGACCGACGATGTTAGGAGTTGCAACCCCCCGACACTTCGTTCAAGCTGTCATTCATACTTTTCCGCGGTAATCACGATGCAACAGTCATACGATTCGGCTACCAAGCCCGCAGGAACGGCCAGAAGTCCTGCAGGCTCGGCGGTACGTTCGAATACGATCGATTTCGAAACATTCCTAGCAACCGTTCCGCGGTGAACGGTTCCTAGCAACGGAAAGAGAGTCTCAGGGGTGCGAGGTAATAGGGATTCACGATCGGACAGGAGGCGATTTTCACCCCACGGAGGGGAGGGGAGGGGGGGTTTCACCCGCGAAGGGGGATGCTGGGGATATGCGAGGTTTCGTTTACGCAGGCAACACCCCGGGGTCGATGGCACCCCATAGGGCGGTGCGCCAATTCTATGGCGTGTTACCGGCTCTCACTCGACCCACCCGTATATCGATCGGTTCGACATACCTAAGCCGGAAAAGAGCCTTTGTGTACCTTGTTCTCGTGCGAAGCCTGCCACAATATCTTATTTCAACGGATTCCGAGTGAATAATAATTTCATCCCGCCGCAAATTCAATATATTCATTCTGATTTCCGAGAAGCAAAACTATTTGTCTCACGACGGTTTTTCCGTCGAAGATTTTCGTGCTGCTTACGTATTGTCCAATAAAAAAAACCGAAAGATGGAATCGGAGTCATAAATTGCTTAATTCGATAACAATTCTCAGAATTTTACTCGTAAATTTTTATTTCGATGGTACCAAATGCCAGAGCCCTGAGAGCTCACTCGGTTGTTGCATCACGAACTATTCCCGCGTGTCTGTTCGTCTTTGAGGAACAAAGCACCGACCTCGATGCACAGCGAGGCTACGCTCGTTTCGTTTTTACCTGCAGAAACTCTCGTAACGACCTCTTTTACACTCGTCGTATCGTCACGGCGATCGCGATATCTTCACGATACGGAGAAGACTCGCCGAGTCGCTTAAGACAGATGACGGGGGGGAGAGGAAGGAGGATGACTTAACGAGCACTTGAGCGTCTTTGATCTGGTTTAATTAGCCGCGAGCCATTGGACTACCAGCGGATTTCTTGTCTCGTGTCGTCCGAGAAGAGACACGTTTCCACGAAGAGGCGGATGTCACAAAAAGGGCGGTCCTTTTGAGGTAGTTTCAACTGAGATACTTCCCCCTCTTCGGATTCTGTAGAAACGGAACCTCGTTAACGATCTGCTCCGGAGCGGTTGTTACTCAAAGCGTTATTCAGCTTCGACGAGACCTCTCTGAATTCGAATATTTGAAAAAAATCGAAAAATTCGATAAAAACGAGAAATATTTGCCGAACGCTACTATGAAAAAGAAGCGAGTTTATAAATACCTTTTGAAATGTTCTACCTTATGAGATATATATATATATATGTATATATATATTTATATGTTAGAATAATAATTTCGTGTGTTTTGACGATTCCCTCCCGACTACACATAAACATATATATATATATTCTGAAATCAACACGCGTGTAGAAATCTGATTGGCCCAGCGAAAGACTCATATATAGACACACGTGGAAATAACATGTGAATCTATTTTCCGTAATTATTTTCACGATATTTATAAAACATCATCATTCCAAGAAAATCTGGGGGTACGCAGCACGCTTTTGCGATAGAGAAAGAATTTTCTAAAAAGACCTGACAATCCTTCTCTCCATTTCTGTCCATTCGTGTCCATTTCTCGTGTTTCTATCATGAAACCGAAGCGCCCGGAGAAAGAGAACTCCCAGTCCCGAGCTCTTCACGGAGTGGGGCGGAAATACGTGAAGTTCAGACGGGTCAGCAGAAATTTGAGTGATTAGTGCCTGGCCGAGTGGACTCGAGATCATCGAGGACGCTCAGCCGTAACCGTGTTATCGTCGTGACGTCTGTCGAGTGTTCCGATCTTTCTAATCTCAGCGTAATTAGCGTGTCGGTCGACGAGCGTTCATTTTTGAGATCAATATAAAAGAGAGTCACATTAAATAACATTCAATGTAGTCGATCGAAAATCTGCTGAAATTTAAAACTGCCTAAATATTATTAATTTAAATCTCTGAAAAAAAAACTCTGAAAAACTTAATGTGCTTTAAATTTAAAAATGTGCTTTAAATTTAAAAAAATTTCTTGAATACAGAAAATAATAAGAGATTTCCAGAAGAATCTGGTAGACGCTGGCGCGGCTCGAAATAAACACTGTCAATCGGCGTATCGCACGACTGAATGCACGCGCGATTAAAATTTCGTTTATTTTGAGACGAACGCTCAATATCGAGACCGACACGAGTGCTATCACGGTGCTTTTGCGTCAATCGATTTTTTTTCATTATTATTACTAGTTATCGCGCGGCTTACATAGTGGCCGGCAGTGATGAATTGCCCCGCCGACGAGACAGACATTTAGAGCTCACGAGATCTTCGTGGAGTCGAGGACGCCAAGGACGTCCCGACGTATTTGTGCAACGTCTAAAGAGAAAAGTGTCTATTTTACTATCAACCGACCATAAAAAATTTAAAACGTCCAAGATCCTGGTACATTTATTGCAAATTTTCGAAAAAGTGAAGTAAACAGAAAAAAGACATTCATTATTTTTTATTCTGACTAAAGTACAATTAAGTAAGGATACTGTGATAACATAATCTATTTGATATAAAATCTTCATCGCGATCTGTATCAACGAAGTTTTTACTTCTCTCTATCAAAATATCGATATATTGTAAATATACATTTGACACTCGATAGAACAATATATACATATTACGATAAAATTATCGTAATACGGAAGACAGAAATAGAGAGTAAGATATCGTGAAAAGTGTAAATTACACACATCAACGTGAAAATAACAGACGTTTTATTAATACTTCAACATGTCTTTTCTCAACGAAACATTGTTGGTGTTGGCATACACAGCCAACATGATGGCTACGTTGCCCGAAAAAACAGATTTAAAGAATACTAGCGTAGCTCAGAATATCACCACCACGACCTTGTCACCAGAAGAGGTGGAGAACAAATTTGATTTGGACGATCGTAAGTACCAGCTCAGCATCCGAAAAAATTTATTTCTCCTTTCATCTAAAATAAGTTCTTTCTATGAGACTAGAATATTAAGAGTGCTCAATAAGACAAAATCTTTGTCTAATAATTTTTTATTTTCGGATTTATACATAAATAAATAAATTTATATTAAGTTATATGTAAATTTATTTTTAGATTTAATTTTAAAAATTTAAATAAATTAATTAAGTATGTTTTAATTAAATAAATTTAAAAATTAAAGATTATTATATATAAGCACAGAAAATCTTGCCTTGTCGAGTATTACCGATATTTTATTCCCATACCGAATTTATACTCGGCTTATATTGATCGTTTAACTTTTCTGTAATTTAATTAAAACGTGGAAAGAATAGCGATATAAAAAAGCTCCGTTTTCTTGTATTCTTTTTGTTTGCAAAAATATCATATTTGATTTGGAAGTTACATCGAGGGTGAAGAAAGTATCCGGAAGAATAAATGCAGTCGGAAGGGAATTGCAATTGATACAATAAATAAAATGAGAGTTAATCATTTATATACAGTCACGTGCAATCGCGTATTGCGCTAATCCAACACGGAGACAAAACATCATCGGGGTCTTCGAGGAACTGATAGAGTCGCACGCAAAGATATCATGGACGCGTTGATAACCTTTGGGGGAGTAATTCGTAGTAGCATTCGTCGTTCGAAATGTCGGTTGATATTAATCGAAGGACGACGAGTAAATCAGTTTAGATACGTATGTCCGAATATTTGTCATTGAGGCATTTTGCGTCAATATGTCGAAGGTTTATATAAGATGGCACAAATAATAGTAGAGTATTAAAAAATAAAAGTTTCGTGGTTATCCCAGATCTCTATATCTTTTTTACGTACAACAAATTATTAGACTAATTTAGATTGAAATAGATAATTACTATTATTGTATTATTAGAACTTGTAACAATTATTAAAATGAAGTTACAAACATTTTATAAATTTTTAAAGCGTATCGAGCCCAATGTACACAATAGTTCATGTCACCGAGGCGTTTTCACTTCCTACCGTTTTTAAGATTTAATTTTTTCTTTAAATGCAGAAAAAGAAACAATTACTCATAAATAAAAATTTGATAATATTGCTCGAACCATTTTAAAAATCTTGAAAATATTAATTTTCAATAGACTATTTTGTTGCACTAGATTCTCTCATGTGGTTGAGAGTAAGGCATTTTTTTAATTTATTGTTATTGTATTAGTATTATTATTTTTTTTTATTATTTATATAGAATGGTATATGTGGCGATGTTATGAGCCGTATGGTTGTTTTTACATCGGAGCACCTTGGTCTGGAGAAAATCGACCGGTATCTACGTTTCCAGCACGCCCGGATAGCATAAATCCCCGCTACGTCCTTTACACACGCGAAGAGGCTGAAATGCCCCACGAATTTAAGATCGATAGTTTCGAAACGATCCGAGAAGCGCCCTTCAACAACAAGAATAATGTGTACTTCATCATTCATGGATTCCTCGATAATGGCGATAAAACGTGGGTCTTGGTAAGTAAGCTTCTCCGCAAGATTTTCAGACAAAACATTATTTTGTAAATATCACTTGAGGAAGAAACATATTCTAATTAACGATTAATAATTAAAACCGTCCTGTCCAGGTTTATAGTAATTCATTCACTAATATTTTCGTCATACTAACTTTCATTGTTTTCGGAAAGAATACGCAACGCAGCGGCAATATTTCGTATTTCGTTGTGGAAAAAAATTCTATGTCGAATGTTTCACTGACGTGAACGTCTTTGAACAGAGGATGATGAAGGAGTTGCTGCTGCGGGAGGACTGCAACGTCGTGATCGTCAACTGGATTGCCGGGGCTGGACCACCCTACACGCAGGCGGTGGCGAACACGCGGCTGGTGGGCGCGATGACAGCTCGCTTGGCGGCACAGCTGATCGAGATCACGCAGATACCGCTCTCGAAGACGCACTGCATCGGGCACAGTTTAGGCGCCCACACTTGCGGCTACGTTGGATACACCTTGCGAAAGCGATACGGCTACAAATTAGGCCGAATTACAGGTAAAAAGGAGATAATCATAAATAACGTCTTGCAGCGAGACTTTTATATACGAGGGATGTTGTCGCTGAGTGGGGGGTGGGGATAATTGTTTTTCATTAATTCTTTTTAAACCGCGAAACTTGTGTATACGCGATATCGCCGTGCAACATTTTGCAGGCAAATCCTTGTATGCCGATGAATAAGCAAGAATGAAAAATGATTGATTAAATAATCCGGAGATTACGTACGCGGCAAGAAAGCCGGGCTTCTTTGTTCAAGAGGTTCAAGAAGAGCGATTGCGAGAGAGAGAGAGAGAGAGAGAGAGGAGAGTAGTGTCTCTTTATGCAAGGCTGAAGGAGAGCGATTGCAAAAAGAAGGCGCGAGAGGAGGAAAAAGGAAAAGCGCAGGATGAAGTCATAGGAAAAGTGTCATGCAAAAGGAGCGAGATGCGAAGAGAGATGCGGCGTTACCGGTCATTACCGCTGCTTTTTCTCCTCTTCCTCATTTTTCTGCCTGAAATCGGTCAATGTCGAGCGGACCGTCTGTCCCCTCCTGCAGTCGCAAACAGCTCGGAGCATTACGAAGATAGCCGATTGAATCGCAGATGATCAGGATAGCAGTCGTCGCAGAAGTGTCTTACTCGAAAAGGTCCATCCAAACGGATGGACCTCGAGATTTATTAATCGCGCAAAAATTACGATGAAATATTATTAATGACAATGACAAAAAGTCAGACATACACTTTCTCAGCCATAACTGCATCCTGTAAATTGCTCTAATTCCGAGACTAAGGAAACATCTTTTTGCAATAAATATAATAATTAGAAATAGTAACCGTAGTCAACGTAAGTGAATCGTTACACGATTGACAAAAATACGAATTTTGGAGCTGCGGAGCCTCTAATGGATATGAAAAATATCGGCTTATTATTCATCTTACATATGTGTGATTACATATATTGACGTCTGAAACGTATACTTCAACTTTCCATCAGAGTTTCCAGTTTACACAAACTTATAATTTAAATGATTAGTGAAATGTTTTCGAACGTAATGAGATAAAACTCGAGCAAATGACGATACCGCTCACTGCAAATAGGAGACAATCGTCATTACAGTGACCGCTACAAAATCATGTTACTTTCGTTGTACTTTCTTGTAATTTGTGGATTGGTGGATTTATATAACGTCGAACGATAGTCAAGCAACAGAGCATTGCTTAGGTATGACGATTTACAATTCATTCGCGGCGAATTTAAAGAAATTAAAAATCATAAATTCGAGACATAATCGTCGAGTGAGAGTACATTTTCTTCTTTTTTTTCGCGCGATTTTTCGTCGCAAATCGCGCTGTGTGGTCGCGCGATTTGCGTTACCGATGACAAATAGATTCGAAATAGAGCGAAAGCGAGCTCGCAAGATCGGGGGGGAAGCAGCCCCGTGAAATTTCCACCCCCCCCCCGGTGGAATCGATGAAATCGAACGGGTCCGATCAGAAGTGGACGGGTTTGGTCGTTACGTAAGCTATCGATCCCATCGGGAACTACCAGGATAGCAGAAGAGGGTGCGAAGTGTGTTAACAAAGGCGGCGGCGGGGCCTATATCGTCAATGGCTGCGAGGCAACCCGCAGAATTCGCCGAGGGTCGACGAATCGACGCCCTCTCTCCGCCTCGACGCGACCCCGAGGCAGGACATCCCCTGACGAGGGGATGCCTCGGCTCGCGAGAGCGAAACCGCCTGGCTCCTGGACGCGTTCGGAGACGAGAGAGATTGCGGTAAACAACCAGAATAAGGGAGCACGTTGTCCCAAGAAGTGGCAGGATAGCAGGAGGATAGGCCTCGTTCGTCGAATAAGGACGAGAAAGATAATGGGATATCATCAATCAGAGGCCGTGAAAGAACTGTGAGAAAACCCGTTGTCGGGGGGCGAAATCGTTTCGCCATCGTTTTCGCCGCAAACAGATCCCGAACCTTTTAGGCGAAATACTCTTTCGTCGTGCGTATTTATTTGTAAATTTCGCAAAGGTAATCCGAAGGCGAAGAACGCGTTGTCCAACGTGTTGCCATGACGCAAGTGTACCGCAACGATTATTTTTTTTCTTCGTGTAAACTGAGCTGTCAACACATTGTCTCTAAATCGCAAAATAACTTCCGTTCTTGCGCGATGTAATTCGAGGTTACGTGGCAGGAGCTGAATCACACGTGTCTCACAGAAACGAAGCGATATACATTAAGAACGATATAATTCTATGATTTTCCAGCGAATGTCAATTTAAAATTTCTATCATAGTGCGAATAATTTCGTCTGACATAATTTTTAAAGAGCATCAATGTCTCGGCATTCTTTGCGTTTTCATTGAGAAATAATAGACAATTAAAGACATAACACCGTAGCAATTAAAAAATGTTTTACTCTACCGATTTACTTGCTTCAAGTCGACAAAATTTCGACAGATCACATATAAAAAAAAAAAAAAATTGTGAGAATTTTTGTTTAGGAATTATATAAAGAGAATCGACGTTCTTCTCTAGCTAACGCAATTTCAATGTAGAATTTCGTTCTCTTTGTTACGAAGTTATTTCACTAGCATGCCAATTTCTTGCCAAACTCGCACGCCGATTTCGGCGGCCAATTTCGGTTGCCGAAACGGGCGGTTTGTGTCAACACTTTTGTCACGCTGCAATTTCTCTTGCAAGGCCTTGATCCGGCGGAACCGCACTTTAGCCATACCTCTCCCATGGTCCGACTGGATCCAACGGACGCGACATTCGTCACGGCTGTGCATACCGATTCTAGTTTATTCATTAGCGGCGGCCTTGGCATCACGCAGCCGGTTGCACATATCGATTTCTATCCAAATGGCGGCAGAAATCAACCCGGCTGTAACGAGGGTGTACTCAATTCTATCACCTTGGAACGCGGCAGTTTCTTTCGCGGTGAGTTTCCCCCGTGAGTTTCGCTCGAATTATCTCTTTGGCGGTTTCACAACACAATTTCATTTAAGAAGGAGAAAAAATGTCCTTTCCGTCAGTCCGCCAAAAATTACTTATTCAATTAGTGATATTCGAATATTCGAATTATAAAAAAATTAAAATAAAAAAAAAATTTGCCTGCAGGGATTAAAAGGTTTCTGGGATGCAATCATATTCGCAGCTACGAGTACTTCATCGAGAGTATCAACACGCGGTGTCCGTTCTTAACCGTGCCCTGCAGCTCCTGGGATAAGTTCCAGGAGGGCGGGTGCTTCGACTGCGAGAAGCAGTACTGTCCCAGTTTCGGATTGGACGCTCAGCCCGGGAATTACCACGCGTCCGTGTACCTGATGACTGGGCACGACAGGCCGTTCTGCAGTTAGTAACATAATTCATTTGCACTTAAATTAAAATCAAGCCGCAGCGCGCATGCGCGCGCGCGCGCGCGCGCGCTCACGGGCTTACGTGATCCGCTCGCTTCTGCGAGCTCGCTTCCGAAGCGGCGATAATTGGAATTCCGTTGGAAATTGCAGAGGGTCACTACAAGCTGACGATAAATATCTCCAAGACGGACGAGAGCCTGTCGCACGGCGGGGAGGTCGGCATGTTCGTCGTGCGCGTCATCGGGATGAACGGCAAGAAAACCGAGGAAATTGAGCTGAGCTCAACCTCCAAGTACTATGAGCCCGGTAGCACGCACACAATCGTCCTGCCCGGTGACATCGTCGGGAAACCGTACGCGGCTGAGGTCACCTGGAAGTATCAAACCTCGGTCTTCAACCCGTTGACGTGGAGGCTGCTTCACACGCCGCGGGCTTACATCGATTCGTTGGCTATTAAGAATCTGGAATCGAATTACGGGTAAGAGATCTCGCTTGCTTCGCAACTGAACGAACGAACTGAAGTGTAATCCAACGAAAAAGACTTTCGGAATCGCACGTCGCGCAGATCCTTGAATCGCGACGTTCCACATTCTCGCGATGTCCATAAGAAGCTTAAGAAAATAATCGTAAATCGTTCGCTCATGTGCGCTGTATTATTTCTCTCGCGCGTCGTGTCTCTATAACTTTTTGCGGCTTTGCACGCACGGCTTATCTTCCACGCAATCGCGCGCCGCACGTCTTTATTACGTGCGAACGTTTCGACAGCGACAGCTTGTTGCGATGAAAGAGTTGCAACGGACGATGAGCAATCATAGATGAACGTCGCTGACATTTATAGACTCGAACACACATATAATCGCACAAATAATTACACAGATCGTTACGCAATCGGCTTTCATTGTTCGTAGCTTTATGTGTCATTCTTTTTCTCCTTTCAGGATTATCGTGTGTCCGGACAACACGAAAACGCTGATCGCGAATGAGCCCAAAATCTTGACTTCGGAAAATTGCGACGTGCAACACAATGCAGTTTCCACGTGAAGAACCAACTTTTTCATATAGAAAGAATACAGATAGAAAAGTGAAAACGGAATATCCTAGTATTTTACGATATCGCTACATAGAAAAAAAATCATCATTCGAGAATCACCATATAATCACTATAAGTCGAGGGGGACTCCACAGAGTCCCCCGTAAGACTTCTCGATTTCACATGGATGACAGCTAATTTCCGGAAACTCCGGCGATCTTCTAATGCGATCCGAGCTGCGTATTCCGCGTAAGCGAACAGCCGATCGAACGCGAACGAGCGCGAATCCCGCATAATAGCGCCGGTTTCCCTCGCAACCAATGGCAAAGTCACGATCCTTTCACTGTCATTACACGCCCGGGGTCTTCCCCCCCCTCCCTCTTTCTTTCTCCTCTTCCGGGCGCTTTCGTGCAACATCGTCACGTTGTCATTGATCCCGTAATTTGCGACCGCATCGATTGCGCTTTTGTTCGACCGATTACGAGAACCAACGATGAACAATGCCATAACTAACGACGTTAGACAAACGGTTAGGAATCAGGGTCTTTAGTACGAAGAAAAGGAGCGAAGGAAATTTCTCGACGTTAAAACGCGTGTATTTCATGATTATCGCGACGAGTATTTGATTGTTCTGTTTATAACGAGACAGAGCTGTTATAACGTTCCGATAATAATTTCGTAATTCCTTTTGTCGCATGAAATTATGTAACGCGAGAGACGAGACAAAGTGGGCCGTACCGTGTACGACTTCTGCGTTCCGAATGAGCTACGAAAATCTATGAGAAATTCCATGAAAGCGTCTGATTCGATTCGTACAGACCGTAATCAATTTGTTTTCAGGAGTTACGTAATCGATAAGTTTAGTCAACACGCGGCGTTTATGAATAGAAGCGAGACCCGAGGATGACACTCTAAACTAGGAAAAAAAACTTAGGTAAAAATTTAATATCATATTATTTAATTTCGAGTTAGCGCGTATTTATATACAGATATTTCATTACTAGACATAAGTTTGTAATGTAAGTGATCCAGTCTTATGACTTCAGTTAGGAATTATTCTTAAGCGCAGATGTACATACGTATATACGTAAAATCGATTTAGAAATATTTCACGCAAATATTGTTACTCTACTCTGTTATTGTCGAAATGTACCACTATTTTGAATGAACTGTATACAAAAAAAAGGATCGAGACTTTCATTTAACACACGGCGCACGATCGAACGCCTATCACAGACCTGAAAGAGGCGCGCGGCTGTCAAAAAGTAAAAGACGGAATTAACGATTGAAAAAAGTGTGCAGGAAATAATATATCATTTATCCCAAAGTCATTGCTGCGGCACTGGAGGAGTTCCGCATTCACTTCACGTTTTCTATAGCTCCGTCGTTCGGCACGTAGATTGGCTCGTTTTACTTCTCGATCTCTAATAAGCGAGGCAATTCAGTATTGGTAATTTCCCT